GAGAGGAAACGTGCGAAAAGAGGGAACCAAAAATAAAAGAAGTACGTATCATCACCACATCTCGGAAACACGCCGGGACGAAAAAAATGACCATAACATGAGAATAATTGAGCCTCTCGACAAAAATTCGCGAAATGGTGTCGTTTCCAAGACGGTTTTGAACGCACGTGTGAGTCATCATGTCCTGACTTGAGCACACACCCTTTGGTTTTGTCGCAAAATAGCGGTGCGGGCAGATTTTACAGCTTCCTTCTCCGCTTTCTTTCGCCCGAGGCTCCGGAAGTCTCTACTCACTGAGCCACCACCATCACCACCGCCATCGCCGCCCCCAATAAATCTTCCCGATTTCTTTCCTCTCTTGCTTCTCCCCTCGCCCTCCTCCGCCGTGGCGAACCCGCACCGACTTCTGATCTCCCTGGGATTGGCAGCAAAGAGGGAAACGACACATACCGCTGGAAAAGTCGAGAGCATCGAACAAACAGTCCGCCTTCCGGGCCGAAACCGGAACCAGCTTGAAGTTTCCCGAGGTCAAAAACAAATTCAGATGACATCTAACTAGGCTACTTGTACTGATTGACCAGCAATAATAGCCTCCAAATCATCACTTGGGTGTGTAGGGCGTTGGCAAAAAGTAGCCGGGTTCGCTGGTCAATCTTCCCGAAAAGTGGGGTGTGATAGGCATCTGGTTTGTGTGAAGTCTCTGTTCTGATGGACGTCTTCATCGTCGTCGAACTTGCTGAACATGATTGTCGAAACCGAGTGGGACTTCCAAAACGATATGACCTGGGCCCCGCTGCTCTCAAAAGGTTGTACAGATTTTTCCGTAGCCTTCGAGCGCGCTGCTCGGCCCAGACAGAGAAGGGATCCACGCCGGCTCTTCTCCACTCGAAAGAGTCTGAGCATGCCAAATGGGTGTGAACGAGGTCAGAACATGGAAACGTCGGCGGGTGGATTTCTGGCAACAACGGCATTTCCTCACTTGCAGCACAGAACGCAGGCCCTATTGTGAGCGATTCCAACGATATTGCGAATCCCACGTGGGTGAATCAAGATAGGTTCCGGATGCTGTGGACAGCATTGCATAGCATCCCGCAGTAGCATGTTTCGTCTACGAACACCTTTCTGATTCGTAACGTTTTCTTTGAGCATCTTGTTCAACGCACTATTGCCCAACGTCCCAATGCGCTGCCAGTGGCCCCACGAGTGGGGCAGCCTCTAAACTTTTCTCAAGGTCACATCGGATGGGACTGGTGTGATCTAGGGGTTGTGGTAGGAGTTACCCGATATGGATCGGCTTCCGATTGCAGCCTCGGCAGCGCTTATCCCGCCGTCGCCGAGAGAGATCCATTGATAGAGCGGAACAATGCATGCCCGGTTGTCGTCGAGAGGATTTGGCGGGTGTTGCTGCTCTGGCGGTCGAGCTGGGACCGATTGTTCTTGTTCTTCGGAATCTTGGTTGAGAAGCGGCCCAGATGTGTGCGAGCTCGGCAGAGCCGCCTCCTTCCCCTCCTATCAAAAGGTCTCTTGGGGGTGAGTCGGTCGCCGGCAGGTGACGTGGAAATTGACAAGGAAGGGCACACTGGCAGACGCACGAGTCTAAAGATTGAACGCGCGAAACGAATGGGTTCGATTCTGAATGTTCTCATCTACGTGGAAAATTTGGAACGGATTGTGAACAAGGACAACCCCGCTAGCCTCATATTTCCGTATTGAATTTACTAGAGATATACAAGCGATATGGCGAGAACATTGGCAAGAACATTCTATTTCTGCGAAACAAAATGAAGGTGCCCGTTCTACGTAGTATTGGGGAGAAGAAAAAGCGAGACAAGCACTCAAGAGAAACCAGACTCACGAGGATTTCGACGGCCTTCTTAAGCGCCTTTGCTTCACTTTCGTAGCATCCCTCCACCTGACGGTTGGGCGGGGAGAGACAAAGAAGAATCATCCGATGACATATCCAGTATCCAGGGGAATACATGAATAATTAAAGGGAAACCGCTTCACACTAAGCTCTCGCAGCAAGGCACGAATAACCCAGAAGGGAGGCCACGACTCAGGGCCGGAAACATCTGCCACTGTGGGCGTGGGAGGAAGCAGAACGTTGCGAAAATATGAAAAATATATATGTATGAATGTCCTGGCTATGTACGCCGCATGCGGATGGGTCAAACGGGTGGCTCGCCTGTTCCAGAAGTCCCAATCGGCTGACAATCCACGGAAGGACGGCACACGTTCCGCGGGACGTTCCGTCCAAGTCGACACCACCGCCGACACAGGAGCCGCTGCTCTTGTCATCTTCGAGGAACGACCCGGTACCTTCGGCGCCTCGGTTATGCCCGTTCCTTTTCCACATGATGTTGATGCCGCTACCATCTGGGCTCTCCGTATCGCTCGTGTCGAGCAACTCGTCGAAGAAGGCCCCCGGGGACACGCTCATCGTAGTGTCTTGTTTGGCCTCGTCAGTACCTTCGTCTCCTTTGACACCACCAATGTTGTCGTCGCAAGCCTTGTCCTCTTGTCTGCTATCCGCGTCCTGTTGCATCGTCTTCACGCTTTCGGTATTTCTGGTCGAACCGCCCGCCTCGGTGCCCACCGCAGCACCTCCTTGGGCTTCATCGTCAACATGGCCGGCGACGAGGCTGGATCCAGCATCTCCTCCAACCGCTGGCTCGTCTTGCTCCGCCACCGCTACCCCGTCAGCTTGCGTGTGGGACTCTCTGTAGTTTCTTTCAGCATCTCCACGAACGGCGGCTTCCGCGTACCCTTCGCCGTTGAGCGTCACGACCCCCTCGGCGTCTACGCCTCTCCTCTCTTCGTCACGCCCACTGTTGAGCCCCTCCGGCGGGTCAACTGGATCCAACTGTAAGACCGAGCCATGGCTACCGTTGCCTCTGCAACTACTGCTGTTGCCACTGCCGCTGCAGCTGTCTTCTACCCTCGACGCCCACCCGGCGCTCTCCGCGTCTCTCTCTCGTGGTTGTGCTGTATCCGATGCTTTCGCTGCCGCCATCCTAGGGCCCGCAGCCGCTTGGGCTCGCTGCTCGCTTGCCAGCACCTTTCGCTGGTGCTGGGCCCATTCCGTTTCGACTCGGTCCGCCGAAGGTGTGAATACAAGCGCGAACTGCTGTCCCTATTTTTCAACGAGCGACGGCGAGGCACACCGGGAAACATGGTCGGTGATTCCGTACTCTTCGTCGGCTTAAGACTCGTTGTGTTTCTAACCCTCTGGTAGGTTTTCCATCGGCTTGAGACTCCTTGCGTTTCTAACCCTCTGATAGATTTTCAAAAACAACTCCCGATAGCAGGTAAACTGGACAGTAGTACAGTGAGATGGTGCTCTCCGCCAGCTTACGCTTAGCTTCGCCCGCTGATAACTTCGCACAGCGTTGCCCAGTTCTTTCCAGCGTTGCCGAATAGGTTAGAGGTTTGGACCGTTAGAGGCGCTGGAAAGAACTCTTGCAATGGACGAAACTGTTCAAAACGTATAATTTAACAGTGAAATCAACCTTGGCTTTGAAAACCGCGGGGATGCTGGAGTCGTATCCCCGACCGAGTCCTCCGGGATTGTTGAGGTGGATGCTGGCGTCGTTACTGCTGCTGCTGCTGCTGCTGCTGCTGCTCCCGCCGATGCTTATGCCGCTGCTGGTACCGGTGAATCTTCCGAGGCTACTGCTGCCGCCGAATCTGCTGCCGTGGTCGATGTAGCCACTTTTCTGGGTATCGTCGCCTCTTTCCTGGGTATTCTCTTGTTGAAGGTTGAAGCTCAAGCGCCCAACGGGTATACCCTTGCGAAGAAGAAATAGATGGTCTGAACAAGATGACGTCAACGCAAGTTGGTCCTTCCACCTCGCAGTGGACCCCTGGCATGGTAACCAAACTATCTGCTGATTGAGACGAAGTGCGAGGGTCGAAACAGAGCAAGGGTGCAGGCATTGAATGAGTACGACGAGGAACATTCCAACATTCACGGAACATCGTGGATATTCCGTAGAATGTCCCAGTCTTTACCGGGCATTGAAGTTCCAATAACCTAGAGGAAATGATTCACTGTGATGGACAATTGCCGGCATATTTTTTCATGAGGCCCTCGTCCTTAATGTGATTTTCCTGCCGCCCAGCTTAAGCGAGAATCCAAACGTCTTGGTACAACATTTTGTTTGTTTTCTCCCATCATTGGACTCTGTCGTCTGCCCCTCTGGCCCCTATCCCCCACTTCCACTAGCTAGACGACTCAACCGGGGTCACATAGGAGGGGGGGGCTGGACCCCCTCCTGCGGTTCCTGTCTGAGGTTTTTTTATCGCGAGAAGGGTACAGCAATCCCTTCCCTCGCGACTTTCGAGGTCGATTATGGTTTACAAACAACGAGCTTTGCAGCGCGTCGCTTTCATCCTAGACCGGAATTTATTTAGTGAGAAAATAACTCACTCTGCCGGGACTCGAACCTATGACCTAGCCCTTAGCAGGCTGCGAGGTTACCCACTAGACCCCCGGGGCGACCGGTGGTAACATGTGCCTCTCCTACTCGCTCTCTCTCTCTCTCTCTCTCTCTCTCTCTCTCTCTCTCTCTCC